TCAACTCCCAGAATTCCCCAGCCAGCCATGGGAGTTGAGGTCCACCCATCTTCAAGTTGCCAAGGGTGAAAAACACTGCTATACACCCTCTAAAACTAGTGCAAACATGGAGGTGTTTCCCCTCCAATTATATCATGCTTGCCCCATGCAAAGATATGCAAATTGAATTGACTGATTCATCTGTATGCTATGTTTTCTTTCATCGGAACAGAACAGCTCATCTGCATTGGCCCCAACCCCTATCTTTTACTTTTTAACAGTAAAAGAAGTTCAGGACATAAATCAATGTTAGAACACAGGCTGGGAAATATCCTGACCCCTGTTCCCACCACCACCACCACCTTGGACAAACTCTTAACAAGATTTTTGCCTGGTTTGCTCTTTTAAACAAAAAAGCAATCACTTCAATCTCAATCTGCAGGGTTTCTGTAAAAACTCAGGGGCTGGATCTTGTGCACCTGTTAGGGCAGAACGTGATAAGATCATATTACATTAGAGGCAGATTCATACATGATGTCAAAACTAGGGCTGAGCTGCAGATTTTGCTCTATCTTAGCTTAGGGTGACATCAAAGTCAGGAAGATGACACAGAAATGGTCAGGCTTCCTGTGAGCAAGCGACAGCCACAGTCCAATAGTCCTCTCCTTGCTGTCCTGCTTGGACACAAGGGTTGAATCCAGATTTCGTCATGATCTGCGCAAGGCGCGTGACCAGCTCAGGTCTCAGTGATTTCAGCCTCTTCTTCTAAATAAGGTTCAAACTGGATCCTGCCCAACAGGATGAAGCGGACTGAGTTCTGAGTAGGCAGCTATGGAGGAAACAGTTGCTCAGTGTTGCAAGGGGTCTAGTTCTCAGAAACTCGGGGGGAATTACTGAAGTCAAGATACGCCCATCCTGTCCGTGGCCTGGCCCTGGTTCCACCCCAAAACAATGAGGACAGCATACAGAGTTCCCCTGTATCACGGTTCTGTCAAGTGGGTTAGCTGGAAGGATTGTGACTCAGCCGGGCAGTGAACCCTTTGATGTTGCCCCAAACAGTTGTGGCCATGGTGACTGACACCACTGCTCAGCTGAGGGTGTTTTCCCTTATTCCCACCCAGTTTGTCATCCTGCCATCTTTACACCTTCTATTTATCTATCTATCTGTCTGTCTGTCTGTCTGTCTGTCTGTCTATCTATCTATCTATCTATC